AAAGGATGGGTTTTACACTGTACAACTCCAAACAGGAAGCTACATGCCAAATAAAGTAAATTATTTATAGCCTGAGAAGGAATAGTATTAACATTGATTGCATATTTGTGACAGTGGAATTTTATAAAAGGGCATTTCTAATAATATTTAGATTTATCAATCAGTTTCAATCATCAGCCAGATCCTTTCATACATTATATAATTTCCTAAAGGACACCCAATATCGTTTAGAATAGTAGAGGACTAATTTGTTAAGTGGAAGCTTAGCAGCCTCAAATAATTAATTGACTTTCAAAAGTAATCAGCTTACTCCAAAGCATAACTTACACAATACCAAAATTTAATCAAAACACAAGAGTCCCGTAAGGAAAGGCTGCTAAGGGCTAAGCTAGGTGTCTTCTGTCTGTGCAGGAAGTCTATCACTTCCCGCCTCTGCCTTATATTCAGCTTCCTCAGTTGTAAAGATTTTGGACTATGGGTGGTCTAGTATCCTGGGCCTTCCTTCTCCTACTGGGCACAGTGTGCTTCCTTAGGAAAGGTTGCTAAGGACCAGACCATGCATCTTCTACTTGTTCTAAAGCAACTGCTTTCATCTGTACCAGCATAAGGCATTTTCTGCCTCCTGCTCTAGCCCAACTTCCTAACTGACATGTGGAGAACCAACCTCCAGTGCAGAGAAGAGTAACCTTCCCTTCAACTTCAGGTCTCCCATCTCCTGCTGCACCTATCCTTTAAGGGTAGAGGAGTGGCGACCCTCTACTCAATGATGAAATTCTCACCCCTGGTCATATCCTTCACATCCTAGTGACTCTGAACTCCTGTAAATCATCATCCAAACCCAATTTCACACCCCCTACCAACTGATTCCTCATTCCCATCCTCGCCCTTTCACCTCAAAGTTTCATCATCTATCCATTCAGCTCTTCCACTGTATCCTCGGGAATGCCTATAGCATATGCAATATACTTCCTTTCATCTTAAATCTATTTCTCTCCTACTCCTTCCATCTATTAGCTCTTACTGAAATCTGGCTTTCCTCTGATGACACAGCTTCTCTTTCCACTCTTTCCAGTACTGGCTTAACCTTTACTCACTCCTTGATTCACTGGTTGAGTCAGGAATTAGAATACTCCTTGTTCCCTGTTGCCAGTTCTCCTTCTTCCTCCTTTACTCAGTAGCCTCTTTTCCTTTGAGATTCATGTTATCCATGTCTATCACCCAATAAAAATTCTGGTACTAGTTACCTACAGACCACTCATGTCACTCCCTTTCCTTCCTCAATGAGTGTGATATCTGGCTTGGAATATTTCTGTCCTCTCTAACTCCTGTCCTCATACTAGGAGACTTCAACATGTATTTTGATTCTCCTCAAAATACCCTAACCACTCAGTTCCTCAACTTACTTTCCTCCTGTTAAGTACTCCTTCACCCTACCTCAACCACACACAAAGATGGCCATACTCTCAACCTTGCCATTACCCACAAATGCACCACCTCCATGTTCAAGAATTCTGAAATCCCTTTATCCAATTATAATCTGTTGGCTTTTCATCTCTCCCTTTGCTTTCCCTTATGTAACCCTATTCTCATCATCACCATGACCTCTAACCATTGATCTATCAATTCTCTCCCAGGCCATCTCTTTCTCTTCTCCCCATCTTGACTCCTTGATGAAACAATTCAATTACACACTGTCCTTCTCTCTTGAATCCCTAACCCTCTTATCATGTCACAAATTACAACTAACCAAGCCTCAGCCTTTGATAACTCCCATCAGTCATCTCCTTTGTGACTACCTATGCTGCTGAACAAAGGCGAAGAAAATCACTCAATGTTATGACTAGTTCAACTACAAATTTATGTGATATAACCTCAACTAGGCACTCACTGCTGCTAGGCAATCCTACTATACCCTCCCTTTTCAACTCACTATCCCATTCTCCACAGTTGCTCTTCCAAACTTTCTTATCCCTCCTCAAACTTCCCATGCTTCCCCTGCCTCTGAGAACTGAGAACCTTGTTACATATTTTACAGAATAAAATTGAAGCCATCAGCCATGAAATCCTTCTTGCCCCCTCTTCCTCATCTCCTACCAATCAATAGCCTACTGCCACTTTTTCCTCCTTCACCTCTGTTTTATACTCCTTACCAAGGCTAAACTCTACTTGTTCAAGAGATCCTATTCTATCCCATCTCCTCCAAATGATTGTCCCCTCTGTCATTCCCATTCTATCATTTATTTTAAGTCTCTCCTCTACTGGTCATTTCCTACAGCCTACATACATGCCCATGTCCTTCTTAACCTGAAAAAAAAAACTCACTTGATCCTTCCGTCCCTGTTAACTATCCTCCTATTTCTGTTCTGCCCCTTATGGCTAAACTTATTGAAAGGTCATCTATAATAGATGCCTCTCTCCTCTCACTCTTTTTTCAACCCTTACAATTTGGCTTTCAATCTTATCATTCTACCAAAATTGTTCTCTCCAAAGTTACTAATAATTTTAGTTGCCAAATCTAGTGGCCTTTTCTCAATCCTCATTCTCCTTTACTTCTCTGCAGTCTTTGATACAGTTGATGACTCTATCTTGATACCCTCTTCTCTCTAGGTTTTTGCCACCTCCCAGTTTTCCTCCTACCTATCTGACTGTTCCTTCTCTGTCTCCTTTGCTTGATCCTCCTCCAGATCATGCCTTCTAACTATAACTGTCTCTTGGTTTTGTTTTGGGTCCTCTTCTCTTCTCTCTATATACCATTTTACTTGGTGATCTCATCAGCTCCCATGGATTTAATTCTCATCTCTATGCTCATGATTTTTAAATCTACCCATCCTTCCCCAATCTGTCTACTAACCTTCAATCTCTTATCTCCAACTGCCTTTTACACGTCTTGAACTGGATATCCAGTAGACATCTTAAACTCAGTATGTCCAAACTGAATTAATTTTGTTACCCCTTAAGCTCTTTCCCACCCCCCACCCCTAACCTATCATTGTAAAGGGCAACATCACCCCCCCATTTAGTCATCCTAGACTCCTCACTATCTCTCACCCCCTATATCCAAGCAGTTGCCAAAGCCTGCAAATTTTACCTCTGCAACATCTCTCAAATATGCTCCCTCCTCTCCTCTGACACTGCCACCCCTCTAGGGCCTGCCCTGATCATCTCACACCTAAACCATTGTAAACAGCCGTTTCACCGCTCTAATCCATTCTCCATTCAGCCACTAAAGTGATTTTTCTAAAATGAAGATCACACACACACACACACACACACACACACACACACACACCACACACTAAACTCCAATGGCTTCCTATTGCCTATAGGAGCAAATACAAAATGATCTGTTTGGCATTTAAAGCCCTTCATAATCTACACCCTCCTACCTTTCCAGTGTTGTTATACCTTACTCCCTAATATGTATTCTTCCATCTAGTGACACTGGACTCTTGGCTAATCTACAAACAAGGCACTCCATCTTTTGACTCCAGGCATTCTCCCTAGCTCATGGCATTCATTCCCCATGCCTAGAACATTCTCCTTCCTCCGCTCTGACTAATGACTTCCCCGACTTCATTTAAGTCTCAACTAAAATCTTACCTTCGGCAGGAAGACTTCCTTAACACCTCTTAATTCCAGTGTTTTCCCTCTCTTAATTATTTCCTATTTATCTTTCATATAGCTTGCTTTGCATGTTTTCTCCTCCAATTAGATTGTAAGCTCCTTGAGGGCAATGATTGCTTTTTGCCTTTTTGTACCCAAGAACTTAGTACACTGCCTGGCACATAATAGGTGCTTAATAAATATTTATTGAATTTACTGAATGTATAATTTAAAATATACAACTATGTTAATTACATGTGGAAGTAGGTGCATTCCTTTCAAGAAAACTACATTTCTACTATTCTATTAAATCTTTGTTTTGAATTTATAAAATAATTATTTAAAACAACTTCTTATAAACTTAGTTAACAGGCTAAAAACATGGAATGAAGAATGTTAACCTACCCCCCACTCCTATCCCTTTTAAGTTGTCTCTGTGCCTATAGAAATTCAAAATTCTTCCCTTTAAAAAGCCAACAATAGATATGGAAATAGTCAAGAAGTAATTATTCAATTGTTTTCTTCCTTTTCATTTCATGATTCATGATGAATTTTCTAAAATTGTGAAGCCTTGAAATCTTTGACAGATAATATTCTATAGTATTGAATTTCTTTCATTATATACTGTTAAAATATCACAATGCTGTTAATAGATATTTTAGAAAAGTATGTAATCATTAAATGATTGGAAAACAGCAACTTCTATGAATTTTATAATTATCATTTTTCCCCTTTGGTCTATTCAATGGATGATAGTGATAAGTACATACATATATACATACAAATATATTCATGTACATATGAGTGTATAGAAAAGAGATATATGTGTTATGTATGTATAAATAATGAGGTTAGGGTCAGCTGGTAAGAATATGATGCATATAATAGTGTGGTACAGTACAAAGGACAAAGGATTTGGAAGCAGAAGACTGAGGTTTGGATCTTCTGCTTACTATTTGTATGACCTTGGGCAAGTCATTTACATTCTTTGGGCCTCAGTTTTCTCATCTGTAGAAGGATTAGATGATCTTTGTGGTCTAGTCCAATTTTAGTGCCTATGTGTCCATGATCTAAAATGCTGAAGATACCAGTATGATTCCCATATCTGGGGAAATTATTCTTTTTTTTTTCCCTTTGTTCATAGAGATCATCTTTAACTCTCACATAATGCCAATGCCACTGATCACAAGGGGAACTAAGGAAGACCATGTGTCAAGTTAAGATCAATACCACAGTACTAGAAAAAACAATTTCATTCATAGAACCCTAGGAAAGTAGATGAGTGACCCCAACATTGTGTATTATGAAAGCAGAACATGTGAATATATTATTTTTTAGTTATTTTCCAGCCTGCATCTTCTTTAAAAATGCCCTTCTGTGTTCTCACATTAACTTACTTTATTACTTATCCATTTCTCAGGGTCTTCAGCTTGGAATTGTTTTTGCCCATAAGAAAGGCCATTATACTTGGGTTGAAGAGTGAATCATTGGGATATACTTTTCATTCTTGTGGTAATTAGAAAATGGCAAAAACCTGAAAGATAAAATATTTAATTTTGTTATTAAACACATAAAGAATCATTGACCAGGAAGCATGGTATAGTGGAAAGTTTATTAGGTTTGGAGTCAGGAAGGCCTGAATTTGAATCCAGCCTCTATCACTATCTGCCTAACCTAGGGAAGTCATATAAACTTCACATGCCTCAAACAACTGATTAGAGCTCTGCCTGACCAAAGGCAAGTATTTTTAGCCCTCTGGGTTTGAATTGCTCATCTGTATAAAGATGAGGTTAGGTTAAATTGTTTCTACCATCCTTTCTAGCACTAAATTGATGATCCAAAGTCATAGATAGGTTGTGATCTTCATTGGTAAAAGAAGTATGCACACTGGCAGTTCTAACACTAATGAAATCACAGATTCTTCACTAAAGGAACCACAAGGGATTGACTGAGAAATTACATTAACTACTAAATATTCTTAGTGAGAGCAAATTTTTTCTTCCTTCCAAAATGCCAATCCAAAGGAAAATGGATACCCATATTGTGGACAATTTAGCTAACAAAGATGCTCTGCTTAAATTATTTAAATAATTGACCCAAGATTATAATGAACATCAAGAAAAGATCACACATATTTTGTATGCATATTGAATATAACACTAAAGTTATCTAGCATAGTGATGAAAACAAAGAGTAGCACTTAATCATTGCTAATGATGACAATATATTTGATGATTGACTAAATATTCACTTCATTTTTTCTTTTAGTTTCATTTATCCTGAGAACATCAGCATTGCTATGGTTTGGTTCTATCAAGAGTATATAAAATTGTTTATTATTGGACAAAGATATATTTTGAATAGCTATAGTTAAGCTAATATTCATAAAACTGTGTGATTCTCAAAATACTTTCCTCCTTTTTCTGCTATTCTATCAATTTTATTGTAGAAGGAGAAAAGGGCTACACAACATTGAGGATCATTTTCAATTTTTTTATTATTTCATGGATTGAAATGGCCAAAGGATTCATTACCTGGTGGCTACCTTCTGGTGATGAGCTTTGTTGCACATGGCTAGGTTTGTTTTTTGATAGCAGACTCAGTCCATTCCTGAGACTGATTTCAAAGTCTTTTCAGCATGGTATAAAGTGGCACAGCTCATTGGTATAGCTTTGAGAAACAAATATTAATGTCCACAAGCCAATACGATATTGAAATAGTATTCTGTGGAAGATTATCTCTTAATACTAAAATAAAAATACGCTTAGGCCAAAAATGAACTTATAGAACTATATGTATTAGTTTTATTTAGCTCTTTTATTAGGCAATATTATTTAATATTTGGGGGTATTTATATTTCATGAAATAGATCACAAAAATTCTGAAATCATATTGTCTTTTTTTGCCTAGATCATACTCTAGACGTTTTCTTGCTGTGAACATGAAATAAAAATTCATTGAAAATTTCTTTGTAGTTCATTTTCTAGTAGAAAAAATTTTCATGCAAGCTTTAAAATGCTTCAGTTAAGTGTTTGTATTAATAAGAGAATTTTTTTTACATTTAGACATTATTAAAAAGGTTAGGATTTTCTTCCCAATTTAAAGCCTACCATGAAATTAATTGAGCAACACAAGGATTTTTGTCAAGATAAAGTCAAGCATCAAGTTGTCTTTGTTTGTATAACATGAAATGGATTTAGAAAACAATAGATTTAAGAAGAAATAATGTTCCTTCAAATCTATTCTGCCATTTTTCTCTATTCTCTGAAACTGTTATAAGAGCAACTTATATTTGTAAAGGATATTTTAGAAAATGTCTACATGCTTAACACTACTTAAAATAACACAAATCCACACATACAAAAAGCAGATATTCAAATTAAGCAAAGCTAAGGAAGGTATGTTCTCTTGGGTCAGCTGACTCATATATGACAGATTATGATACTTGAAATGCTAATTTGCACATGGGATAGACATCACACACACATACACACACATACACACATGCACACACAAAATTAATGGGGCCCCAAAATCCCAGAGTATACAGAGGAGGTGCTGTGAACCAGCTGCTCCACATTCAGTTTTTATCACTTCTGAATTGAATTTTAATAGTGCATTTTTCTTTTATTTGGACACAAAAGAAATTTTGAATGCTTGACTAGATGGCTTAAAAGATAAGGCTAACAGTTTGGTGACTTTCCCACCTGTGAATGAAATTTGGTTTAATTTTGCCCCAACATTTTATAACTGAATACTAATTCAGATTTCTAAGATACATATTAATAACTTCCAATATTTAAAGATGTTTTCAAATAAACTTTAAGGATAAAAAAGCAGTCTCCTTGAAGAATGATGAAATGCTATCACTTTTAAGTATAATATACACAATGATAGAATGCATTTTTACCCTTTAAACAAATATTCTCATAGACCTTTCATTACCCTAGTCACCTTCCTCTGGATAGATCTTTCTTATCAATGGCCTTTCTAACATGTGGCATTAGACTAGACACAATATTCCAGATGTTGTTTTACCAAGGCAAAGTACAATAGAAGTCTCTTCTTCCTTGGTATTGATGTTACATGCTTCCATTAATGTGACTTATGATTGAATTAGCTTTTTGGTTGCCACGCCATTTTACTTACTCATAATGACTTGCAGTCTACTAAAACTGTCAGGTTTTTTCCCCTTCACATAGGCCATTCTCTACCAAGTTTTCCTATCTTGTATTTTTGCATCTTGTCCTTTGAATCCAAGGCAAATCTTTAAATTTATCACTTTACAATTTTTATACCATAAGAATTAGTCTACTATTCCAGGTGACAAAATTATTTTGAGGTCTTTCTACTTCTGTCATCCAAGAAAGGACCACCTGGAGCAGCTAGGTGGGGCAGTGGAGGGACAGCTAGGTGACTCAGTGGATAGAGCACCAGCCCTGGATTCAGGAGGACCTGAGTTCAAATCTGGACTCAGACACATAACACTTACTAGCTGTGTGACTGGGGACAAGTCACTTAACCCCATTACCTAGCCAAGAAAAAAAAAGAAAAAGAAAGGACCACCAATATAGCATTGTAAAAGAGCTCAGTGGCCATCTAGTTAATTTCTCTCCCATTTATCATATATTAGGTATAAATGTCAGTTTCATCTTATTTGAAACTGAATGCTGCAAATTCATTTGATTGTGAGCTCCTTGAGGGCAGGGACTATTTGAGGCTAGATTTATATCTCCAGCTATTAGCACAGTGCCTAGCTTGTTGACTTACTGACTTGAGTTTAGAGTGACCTACTTTACAATAGTACAAAATTTTATAAGAACCTGGAAATATCCTTCATAATAACATTTTAGTAAAAAATTCAATCTTTTTTTCTTGACAGTCACACAATCTTAGGGCATTTACCAGCATTAAAATACATATTTTGTTGTATTTTCTTAGGCATTTTAATAAGCTTTCTCTGAGTCATCCACTCAGTGTATAGCATTTATTGAGGAGCATAAGATTGTATAGAACTTTATTTGATAAAGGAAAAAGTTGGAATGATATAAAATATGATCCTTCTTCTCTAAGAGTTTAAAGTTTAATTCAGATACTCTAAGAACAAATACGCAAAAATATGTAACAGAAAAAAAGGCTATGTATTCATATTGGATTTATCCCTAGTATATACAAGTATTATAATAATCTTTTGAAAGTCTATCCAGTGAAGACACTTTTCTATTACTTCTACTAGTGGAGATAACAAAAAGTCTTGGGTAAAGGTGAGAAGATTTTCATGTATATGAGAAGCATATGGGCATATGGGCAGCTAGGTAGTTCAGTAGATAGAGTACTGGGCCTGGAATCAGGAAGAGCCAAGTTCAGATCTGGTCTTAGACACTTAATAGTTATGTGGCCCTAGGCAAGTCTCTTAACCTTGCTTGCCTCAGTTTCCTTTTCCATAAAATGGAGATTAATAATAGCTCCTACCTCTCAGGGTTGTTATGAAGATCAAATGAGATATTACTTATAAAACACTTAACATAATGCCTGGCACATAGTGTGCATTATATAAATGGTGACTATTATTATCATGATTATATTATATTTATTATAGATGTTGATATTAAAAAAATACTTTTATAGTATATCAAATAAATGTCCCTTCTTTTGCTTTCTTTTCTCTCCCCAAACTCCCAAATACTGACCTATTCTCCTCTCTAACAGCAGACGTCCTAGCCTCCTATTTTATTGAGAAAACCAAGATTTTTCTCATATTTATGCTCATGGGATCCTCTTTATTTCCTCTACTTCATATTTCAAAATGCCTCTACTTCTTCATCCAGCCTCTTCTCTTTTACTTCTGTCTCTGTGAAAAAAGTTACTTTCCTTTTTGTTTGGAAGTAAGGGGTGGTGAGGAGTATCAAAGGAATATTTTTAGGGTCTAAGTTCAGGCATATCTAAAACAAAACAAAAAATGAAACTAAAGCAAAAAAACAACACAAATGAAAAGAATTCACTAACATATGATGCTAAGAATTTGTTACAAAAGTATGATATACTACTACCTCAATTGAGTTCCTCCCCTTTCCTTCTTCAGCTATCCTTTTAAATCTCTTTTTATTCCATATTCTTAACAGAGGATTGACAGTCTTTCCAGACAGCAATCTATTCTCATATCCCTTAAAATAAAAGATTATTAAGTTTTACTTTGGAAGCTTTTTATGTAGCTAACATCATGGATACTCTCTTCCCCTTTGTTTTCTCTGAAACTGCTCTTTCATGGTTTCCCTCCTACTTATCTGGCACACTCTCGGTTGTTTGTTTTTTTAATAGGATAATCCCTCCTCAAAAGTATGGGTGTCCCCCAGATGTCTGTCCTGGGATCTTTTCTCACTCTTTACTCTCATGGGATCCTCATCTGTTCCTTTTGACTCAAGTACCACCTCTATGCAAGTGATCATTCTTTCCTCACCTCTTCTCAGAACCTTTATTTTCCTCCAAGTCTCAGCTCAGATACCACCACCTTTGGGAAACCTTCCCTATTATCCC